TCTAGCAGCTGCTGGATTGATTTCTCATGTTCCCTTACAATTTTAAAGCAATTTTTCTTTTCCTTGTCACTAATTGCCATCTTATCTTCTATATCTGAAATTCTTTCCTCACATTGGCTCATTCTGCTGTGTAGACTTTCATTGGAGCTTTTAATCTCTTGGACATCTGTTTGCATCTGTTTTATGGATTCCATTTGTTTCCCATGTTGCGATTCCATCATGTTCCTCAGCTCCTCTCTAGATTTATTAATCTTGTCTTGTCCTATGGACACAATCTCTGCTGTTATGTGAGAAATTATTTCTGATTTCATTTTTTCTTTCTTTCATCTTTTCTTTTGTTGCTTGTTCAGGGAGTCCAGGTGGTTGAGTATCAGAGTGTTCCATCTCGTTTCCCTCTGGGGTTGCTGTAGGTGACCTGGAAATCTGGTTCTGAGGCTTGTTTACATATCTTCTCATTTTGGTGGGGGTAGGGGTGGAGAATGCTGCTGCCACTCGCGCAGTTCACCTCCTCTGTGCTGGAAGCAGTGGTAGGTTGGCCTGGAAGCCTCCTCTGTGCTGGGAGCTGTGGCACATTGACCTGGAAGCCTCCTCTGCTGGAGGTCTTATTTTTTAAGACCATACTCATAGCAACAATAAGGTGAACTCTTATACCATATTGGAGTGAAACTAGGAACTGACAGCAGAAATATACTTAGAATACAATTAACTTTTTTCTTTTTTTTCTATTATCTGTTTTGTATTACATTATTTGTATATTAACTTTATGTAATGGAAACCATGTGATATTGAAGGTTGTGTATCTGATTTATTTCACTTAACATTATGATCTTATGCTTCCATTTACCTACAGATACCTAAAATTTATTTTTCTTTATGGCAGACTAGTACTCTACCACATTTTCTTTATCCAGTCATTTGTTGATGGGCATATAGACTGTCTCCAAGATTTAGCTATTATGAATTGTGCTGCTTTAAACATATGTCACTGGAGTATGATGTTTTTAACTCATTTTAGAAGATGCCAAAAAGGGACAAACTACCTGGGTCAAATAGAATTTCTATTTTTAGGTTGTTGAAGATTCTCTGTACTGATTTTCGTATTAGTTTACACTCCACTAACAATGAAGAAGGGTTCCTTTCCCCACACAGCCTTGTTAGCATTTGTTATTGGTCGATTTCTTGATGCTAGTCATTCTTTTCAGGGTGAGATGGAATCTTAAAGTTGTTTTAATATGTACTTCTTGAATGGCCAGTGATGTAGAATATATTTTCATGTATTTATTGGCCATTTGTATTTTTTTATCTGAGAAGGTTTTTTTCATTTCAGATGCCCATTTTTTTTTAATTGGGTCTTTAAATTTGGAAGGTCTAATTGTTTTGAGTTCTTATGTGTTCTAGATGTTAGTCCTTTGAGGAGCAGCTGGTGAAATTTTTTTTCCCATTCTGTGGATTATCTCTTCATTTTGTTGGTGGTTTCTTTTGATGTGCCAAAGCTTTGTAATTTAATGTGATCCCATTTATTGAATCTTGGTATTATTTCTTGTGCAACATTCAGAAAGTCTTTGCTTACACCTATGTCTTTGAGAGTTTTACCTTTTTTGTCTTGTAGCAGATAGTTTCTGTTCTAGTGTTGAGATCTTTGATCTGTTTTTATTTTAATATACTGTATGATGAGAGATATAAGTCTAAGTTCAACTTTTGGCATGTGGATAGCCAGTTTTCCAAGCATCCTTTGGTAAAGAGGCTTTCTTTCTTCCAATGAAGAGATTTGGCCCCTTTGTCAAAGATTACATAACTGAGTACCTGGAGTTGTTTCTTTATCATCTATTCTGTTCCATTAATCTATACGCCTGGTTTTATTTGCCAATAACATGCTGCTTTTATGACTACCTTTGTAGTATAACTTGAGGTCTGGGATTGTGATGCCCCTCTCCCCCCTTGCCCTTGTTGCCTAGAATTTCTTCTGCTATTCTAGGTCTTTGCTAGTTCCATTTGAACGTTAGGATTGCTTTCTCCAGTTCTATAAGAAATATTATTGGGATTTTGAATGCAGTTGCTTAAATCTATATAACACTTTTGAAAGTATGACCATTTTGCCTATATTGGTTCCACCTATGTAGGAACAGGAGATATCTTCTGGTATCCTTTTTCAGAGTATTATAGTTATGTTGAAGTCTTTCACTTCCTTGGTTAGGTTAATTTATAAGTATTTCATTTTTCTTAATGCTGCTGTGAAAGTTATTATTTCCCTAATTTCCCTCTCAGTGAGTTTATTATTGGCACACAAGAATGCGATTGATTTTTGAGTGTTGACTTTATATCCTGCTACACTAGCAAATGTTTGTAGACTTTTGGTAAGAGTTTGGTAGAGTTTTTAGGGTCGTCTATGTAGAGGATCATATCACCTCCAGATAATGTAGTTTAAGTTCTTTCCCTATCCATCTCTCTTTTATTTCTTTCTCATGTCTAATTGCTCTAGCTTGTATTTTGAGAACTATGTTGGATCAAAAATAGCTTCCTTTCCCCAGCCTTTCCACAGGGAGAGGCCACGGTGCCTTGTTCTTCCCTTTTCTTATTTTTTCCCCCTTCCCCATTCCTTTTCTTTTCTTTTTCCCCTTCCTCTTTCCACCATTTCCCCTTGGGGGTGCTTCCCCTGAGCAGGGGCCGAGCCGGTCTCAGGGAGCTCCCTCCTCACCTGGGCACCAGCAGCAAAGGTGGATTCAGGCCCGGGGTCATCATGGAACTGAGTCGCTGACGACCCAGCCACAACCTTGTGACCCGCCCACAGCCCGGCTCCCTTATCCCTCCTTGCCAGTCTGGTCCTTGTTCCGTGCACCCTCAGAGAGAAGGAGGCAGTGTCTCCGATGCCCCCGAGTCACCCCTAGGAGGCCTACAGCTCTCCAGGGAGAAGGAGGATGAAGAGGAGGAGGTAGTTACATCAAGCTGGGTGGCAGGCAGAACCAAAGGATATCATGAAGTTTCCAGGACCTTCGGAAAACCAGAGATTGTCTTTCTTATTGCAAAAGGCAATCTCTAGGGAAGCCCAGATGTGGAAGGTTTAATGTGCCGAAAATACCTACAAATCAGTGTTTCTCCCTCCCAGAGAGATGAAGTAATTCATGGGCTGGCCAAACTCAAGTACCAATTCAACCTTTACCCAGAAACATTTGCTCTGGCTAGCAGTCTTTTGGACAGGTTTTTAGCTACTGTAAAGGCCCACCCAAAATACTTAAGGTGTATTGCAGTGAGGTGCTTTGTCCTAGCTGCCAAGACTGTTGAAAAGGATGAGAAAATTCCGGTTCTGAAGGTATTGGCAAGAGACAGTTTCTGTGGATGTTGCCCTTCTGAAATTTTGAGAATGGAGAGAATTATTTTGGATAAGTTGAATTGGGATCTTCACACAGCGACACCATTGGATTTTCTTTACATTTCCCACACCATTGCAGTGTCAATGAGGCCTCAGTTACTTTTCAGTTTGCCCAAATTGAGCTCGTCTCAACATTTGGCATATCTTACCAAACAGCTACTTCACTGTACAGCCTGCAACCAACTTTTCCAATTCAAAGGATCCATGCCTCCTCTGGCCATGGTTAGCTTGGAAATGAAGAAACTTATTCCTGATTGGCTTCCTCGTAAATTGAACTGCTCCAGAAAGCACAGATGGATAGCTCCCAGTTGATCCACTGTTGGGAGCTTGTGGCACATCACCTTTCTACACTGCAGTTTTCCCTGCCTCTAGATTCCGTTTATGTCTACCACCCCCTCAAGCACACCCTGGTGACCTGTGACAAAGGAGCATTCAGATTATATCCCTCCTTTATCTCAGGCCCAGATTTCTCCAAGGACAACAGCAAGCCAGAAGTGCCAGTCAGAGGTACAGCAGACTTCTGCCATCATCTTGCAGCTGCCAGTGGGTGCAAGCACACCTCTGCTAAAATGCAAAGTGGAGGAAATGGAAGTGGATGACTTCTATGATGGAATCAAGCAGCTCTTATAATGAAGACAATGCTGCAGAAAATGTGGCTTCTGTGTGTGGCACTGATTTATCAAGACAAGAGGGACATGCTTCCCCTTGTCTACCTTTGCAGCCTGTTTCTGTCATGTAGTTTCAACATGTGTTACCTTCCAGTGCAAACTAAGCTTGGCTACTTTGTGAATAACCTGTAAAACTAGGAAAGGCTATGGAGGGATATATACCTTATCAGGCTGATTTGAAATGAGCCAGAAAAAGAAAAAAACACACACCCTCTTTTACTTGTGCAGATAATTATAATTCAGCATTGTTTAAAGGCCAAAAAATACCTACCAAAACATTTTTAAAAAGTAAATTTCTTTGTAGTATGTCACTTCTGCTCTTTTCTTTGCTAAAATGTAATTTGCCCCATGTCAACAAATTACAATATTTGGAAAAAAATTCCAAAATTCACAGCTATTTTCCCAGCATCCTGATTTATTTTCCTCTTGCTTTTGCCTGCTTCTTCTTTGAATACTTAATAAATTTTATGCATGTTGATCTATGTTCTCTGACTTCCACTGAATAGGAAACCCCCCTAAGTTGTTTTTTTTTAAAGCAAAATTAGTGTGACAGCCATATTGAATCCATGGCTTTGATTCCAGTTAGTGTGGAAAGTGTACTTTGGAATTGTCCTAAAGAATCAGAGGTGATAATAGACAAAGTTCTCACATTACCACATGGATTTTATTTCTCATTTCAATTTTTACAGTTTAAAAACAAAATTACAGCTTTATTTTAAACTTTAAAACGGCATGTAACTAGAACACTTAGATTTGTTGAAAGCATTTTTGCCATGTGTATGAAAGAATTTGTGACAAAGTTAATATATCCAGGTGCTTACCAAAGAAACCTGTATGTAACATCATTAGATTTTTGTAAGTGATCTGTTTTCACTCATTTGTAATCAGGAGTCTGTCTAGATGTTGGGGCAGCTCTATGACTTGAGTCTGTAACATGTAATTCAGAACCCTCATTTTATGTTAGGCTGGTAGGGTTTTCTGATAAAAATTATTCCATGTCGCCGGGGATTTAGTTCAGTGGTTCTGTCACCTGCCTCCCAAGCTCAAGGACCTGAGTTCGATCCCCAGTATAAAAAAATATATATATATTCCATGTCTCATAACCTACCTGTATTTCCCTTGAAGACTTGGATCCTGAGCTCCCTTTGCAGTCTGAAGAAGGTATTGCAGTCAGAACCATGTACCAATGATAAAAGCCTCTGGTAGCAATAAAAAGTTGTCCTCAAAAATAATGATAGCAGATATCCTTGTCTTATTCCTGATTTTAGAGGGAAAGCTTTTAGCTTTTCTCTGCTAAGTATGATGGTGACCTTTGGTTTGTCATAGGTAGCTTTTATCAGATTAAGATAAAGACCTTCTATTCCTATTTCCTTGAGTTTTTTTTTTTATCAAGAATGGATGCTGAATTTTGTCAAATGGTTTTTCTGCATTTAATAAGATTATCCTATGGCTTTTGTACTGTTTATGTGGTAAATTGCATTTACTGATCTTCTATTCCTGTTTTTGAGGTTTTTATCATGAATAAATGGTGAATTTTGTCAATCGCTTTTTATCTATTAAGAGATGATCATATGGTCTTTGTCCTGTTTCTGTTTATGTGGTGAATTACATTTATTGATTTGCATGTATTTAACCATCC